GTGATTCCTCCCACATCATTACGCTCCCACCACCGAATTCTTAACGTTGAACAACGCACACGTCAGCGCAGCGTTACACCTGACGTCGATAAACACGCTGACGCCCATGCAGTTGATGCAACAGAGTCGTGCAGTTGATGACGTGGCAGGAAAATCGGACGTACGTTGTGGTCTGATGATATGCTCTCGTAATCGATTCCTCACAGGTCTTGCACTAATCGGACGTAAATCAGAGATGCTGTGGGCTGTCAAATTCTGAAACCGATTTCGCAGGTGAACCAGACGGACATCATCATCTTGTCGACGTGACGTGTCCAGAACGTGGTCGGTCCCTGGTGTTGCCGACCCCAGTGTCACTGTATGGTGTTACGACGAACACCACGACGCTTGGCAACAACGTTTTTGCAATTCAGGTTTCAAACATTCCAACTGCACGCAACCGTTCACCTTCCGATAGGCGCGGCATAACGTTTACGACGTCTGGCCGTCAACAAAGTTGCTTTTCACGGATAAAATACTTCAATGTGTGACGAATGTCTTACTCATGGGATTTTATACATGCAATTTCAGGTGTAAGTTCAGGGTCATCTTGGGTAACCGTGGCAAAGTATTTGTACATGTGATCTCAGATAGGATGCTGAAACATCCATGGCAATTATATTGTATTGTGATTGTTTACGGTGCACATGAATTTCGTTCTGCAGGTTCACTTTTGGGAAGTGTAATTATTTAACCTTGTTGCAATGCGATGTTCTCTTGCTGACTGTTGAGTGCAAATCTACATCTATCAGTATAAACCCCTTTGAATCCCATATAACTACTTCCACCGTGTCTTCCAACAGAGGCTGAATGTTGTACGGCTCACATGCATCTTGTGCAAATGAGAAGCGAGGATCCAAAGCATTCGCCTGTGCACACATATGTCTTATAAGCCGTGTCAGGATCTGCTTATTGTGGATACTAATCCCATATTTGTCTTTTGGTCTGTCGCCACAATGCACGTTGCCGTGCTTTTTTAAACAAACGTAGTATCATTTAGGACTTTTCTTTCACTTTCACTTCACAGACTATGGTTTTACTGAGCTGCAGCCCTAGCTCGCTCACTTATTTGCTCCGTTCACTGTACATCTGCACATCTCTTTCAATAAGTAACGGAAACATGTTTGTAATGTGACTTTGACTGCCTTTGACATATCTGTTTGTAGCTGTGTCTTTTGTGAGACAATGCATCTCATTGTCTTTCTCAGACTTGTTTTGTGTACCACATTGTCATTTACGTGTCTCCTTATCTATTTGCTACACATATGAGTGTTTATTGATCTACTACATAACTTATTGTGTCTTTCCTACCTAATGGACACGCGTTTTGCTTCGTTTATCTCCGACCAAACTACTTTTGTTGTTTTGTCTTTTTGCAACATAACCACGTGTCTCTTTTCTATCTTCGACATATTTGTTTACCTACTATAAATCTCCGCGTCCCTTTGTCTACCTACCACAAAACATCCTATCTTTTGATACCTTCTACAAATAGTGCGTATCTTTGTCCAGCTGCTATACACTGCGTCCTTGTTTGCCTACTACATAGCAGCGTCTCTCTATTTATCTACTTCAAAAATGCGAGTATTTGTGTATCAAACCATGTGATTTTCTTTGTCTATTTGTCTTTCTCATACAGAGAAAACATACAACTTTATGTATAACAACTACTTGTGTATTGAAACGTCTCTCTGTGCAATAAGCCAGAAGTTGAATAAAGTTGTATGTTTTCTCATTTACCCACACCAAGAATGCCAATCTATTAGTTATCTCCTACCCAACTGTATGTTGTTAGCCAAAACACTAGTGCAGTGTTTATCGCTTTGACTGTGCATCACATAGCACCTGTACCACACCTCTTTGTCTCTCTGTTCTATACGTATTTGGTTACTACATGTCCCTCTGTCTGTCCAATGGTGGATATTAAGGTTCTGACTGTGAACAGAGCCGCGGTTTGTTGACAACCATAGACTTCTCGTTTCTCCTTTTTGGAAATAGTAATTAATCAGCCTTACTGCACTGCTTGTTTCCGTTGCTGGTGGCTGAGTAAAAATAACTTTATCAGTGTTAATCCTTCAGTATGTCATGTAGGTTCCTTCAATTTGTATGTAATCAGAGTCTTAGCGCTGCAAGGCTCATATATATCTTGTGTAAACGAGAGGTGGGATTAAAAGGCATCACATTCCAGAAAGAACGAGCTTAAACTAGTTGTAGTGTTTGAATGAGGATTAGCTGCCGCAATAAAAAGACACGAAGAACAGCGCTTCAATTGTAGATGTGACAAATGTGACTGCAACCACTTTGTTTCAAAGTGTTTTCGACATTAAGGTGGACCGTCACCGACATGGCTTCATTTGTCTGTAAACATTATGGAAAACAAAGCGGCCACATCGCTAGAAATTCTCAAAACAAACATTAATGCATCTGAAATTGACACTTGATCATGTATTAAGTCTTTACTCCAATGAGAAGTCTAAACTGAAAAAATGATTTATATAACCAACTTTCCTATTCCTGATTTGGTCCAAACTGCATTTGAGTATCCTGGAATCAGATTATCTTGGCTGTTTAATTAAATTATGAAAATACCTATTAGCGAAAAAATGGTCATTAATGTAGATAGGGATTATATTCTCTCGTAATCATCCAAGAAACTCCCAAGAGAAACCGCTCTGTGAAACCTTGTCCTTTTTTTATACCGATGCAGGGCATTAAAGTCATCAAAATCGCACAATTTATGAAACAGGCAATGAAGTAATTCTGCTTAAATGTCCTCTAACCGTTGTGGATAATTGTCACTAATGATGTCCAGCGAGGTACATAATTCAATTATAGAGGATTCTTCTGACACAGGTTCCCAGGGGAATTATGAAAGCCATGAATTCAAATGGGCCTGGGCCGGTTGAAAATAGACAGACCCAGTTAGCGAGATGCACAGTGATGAACATGTATGATACTTGTTGGACAACTAAAATTAGAAAGACAACCGGTGTTTGTTTTCTGTACCTCGCCTAAAATGGCGAAATAGCACGTATTATTTGTGTCGGTGTTTTTGAATGTAGTTACATAATTCAAACCAAATTTTGTTGTTGTTGTATAACAAATACACATATCAACGTATTTGCCTTTCAACAAATATCGGTGATGTGATGTGCAAAATATTGTTGGCATTGTCGTGGTCGTTTTAATTCTCTTCTGAACACCACCATTGTTATATATGTTCCCACACGTAATACACTTATTATCAATTATATATATTCGACAACTATTCTTCTCAATACCTAGAAGCTATAACTACACACCATCACTATCATTTGGATATCGTAAACTGTGGCCAGAGAAGGAATCATGTACCACTAGGTTAAGAAAGTGTTATAGACATTCCCAATATTCAATTCATCCACAAACTGTAGAAGTTTAAAAAGAAAGTGTGTTATTTCCCAATGGAATAAGTAAAAACCTGGCCGTATATTGTGGCGAAGAATAATGTCATTTGACAGAACGGAATAACGTCTGTTTGGCCGACACAAAAATGATTTATGCAAATGAAGCACATTTACAAGTAAATTAAATCCCCGGGGTTACCAATTATGGAAACCTATACCTCAAAGGAATTTGAAATGTGCACCGAGCCCGTGAATATCACACCGAAGCAGAACGAATAAAGTCGTTCAAATGCCAAAGGTGTTTTGCATCGGGGCTCATGGGTAATTGTTGTCTTGGCAACTGGAATTCTTTTTCAAATAGGACCATGAAGGATATAACACATTTCCTTGGTTTGTGGCAAGAGCTTGTGATTTTCTTCCTAAATATCTAAGATAATGTTCAAACTTATTTATAAAATTTGTATCGTCAACATAATGTGATTGAAGAATATGTAACCCTCTCAAAATTATGTCTGTTTCAAAGTGACATAATTGAAACACTCAGGCAAGATTATTTGAAATGTAAAGTTTCCAATTATCTAACTATTGACACTTTTGTTTTACAGTGTGTCTTGTAATGTCTGTAAATGGTAATCGTGTTGTATTAACACTTTATTTAACATTACTGATAACTGTTTAACGACACTCCGTGCAAAATCTCCAACCACCTCCACAGATTCAGATGTGTGTGCGGAACTATGGTCATGCTATTATGAAAACACAAGGAGCTTGAAAAATACAAAAGTTGCACCAATGATATGTCACAAGGAAATTGATATGTAGGCTTTACTTAAAGTACTGACATGTATGTTATTCGTGAAAACGTATATATAATATAATCATGATGGGTGTACGAACTGTAAATGTTGAAATTGCATTTGGACGGAGTTACATTGGTCCTAGTAAAACCCTTTGCAGTATGTATGAGCTCCAATCTTTCAAGTGCATCATGTGCAATCCGTATGACTTTGATATGTGTTTTCAAAGTCATTATTCCACGTTGTAACATGCCATAACGTTACCATTGTCTTTACCAGCATCGCGTTACATCAAAACGGACATGTTTAAGTGGCCATCTATTGGCACCTTGGTTCTATTTTTACTGCAGATCAAATTGACTAAAAACACTTTGTTATTACATCCCACCTACCAGTGAACAATTACGTACTATCCACAAGTCATATTATTTATTCATGTTAGTGTTCTGTTACTACTGATACTGTTCCCGGTCTTATACGTGAACTATAACACCACTGACTCCTAATTAGACAAATACATTAATGAACCTATTCATTAAAATTAATCGGGTCACTGATGACTATTTTGCCGAATGGCGATTAAACTGCACATCTGAAATATAACCCATGCTTTTCATGAATAATCCGATTATGTAAAATAAAATATTTTATTTGAAAATATCAATACGCCATGTATGTAACAGGCAGGTAAAGGAAGGATTTGAGACAAAAATAAAACTCTGAACTGAATTAACTAGAAATGCAAAGTACAAGGTTTTCACGCATTTGAAAGACGTTCTAAGAATCTAGGTGATGTTTTATTATATCATGAATATTTTACATCAGTCTGTCTATGATATACATAAGATAGCTATGAAACACAGAGAGAGATGATTTCTACTGATGCAATGACGTTGAGGACTTTATTGGTTAATTCATAGGTTTCACGAAAATAGCCAATTTCTTATGTTTGAAAACATTACACACCGTGCAAGAAGCATGTTCATAACAAACACTCTTTGATTTTACCGCGAACTGCTTACACAAAATGGCGACGTTGGGACAAGGGGTCTTTAACTGCAGGCGGGTCCGTTTCTCCATAAAGAAATTGAGCACTTTCCACCCTCTCCAAATATTATCCTTGACCTTCAAAGTTAATCGTCACTTTTCCGTTTCGTTTTAAAACGTAGATTTGTTAGCTTAGTCTTACATTACATACGAGCGACATGTTGGATAGTTATAGACCACAGACGCAATGATGAGACTTACTGTAATGATACACGAAAGACTAGGAATTGCATGACTGACATTTCACCAGAAATAAAGCCAGGCAAATGACCAAGGGAGATAACTGACCAGCGCTTTCCTGTCCTGTAGTTCCTTGCTGGAACTGTGATGACATCACGCTAAAAACGCTTTGCTTCATCAGCACAGTCAAAAATAAATCTTCATCAAACATAAGCATTTTATCCAAAAGAAGTATCTTCCTCTTTTCTGACGACAGTTATCTTTCCGTGGTCCTTTGTCTTTGGGAGTGTTAGCAGAGATAGGTTTCTCCTAGCGAAATGACAGATCGAGCCACCCCAATGTGCTCAATGTTCAGGCAGATGTTTTGTTTTGTTGACGGACTACAGGGAGATGCTATTTGCCCAGCAATTAGCAGCCAGTTTGTGGTCACGTGACCTGACCACGTGGCCTCAGACCTTGAAACCACTGTCAAGGAGCTGCTGGAGCATGTACTGCACCTCGTTCCAGGATCTTTCTGGCATGTCCATCTTCAGCAGGGGACGCTCGTCGCCTTCCATAGCCGCAGCGAAGGCTTTCCTGAGATTCTCAACATTCTCGTCTGTCAGTCCGAGCGTCAGTTGGAGGTCATCGATATCACTGGCCACTGAAAAACAAAGGCTTTACTCATGAGCAGTTATCATATTGTTAACCTTTACATAAGTGATAGCGTGAAAGATGATTTCACTTGATACATTATGAGAATAATATTTTAGTGTATCATGGAACGGTAAAATATATCAAAAAGGAGTTTTATGTTATGAAAGATTGTCATAGTTTCCAACAAAATGGCTGTCATTGTTGAAAAATGATTCATATTTTCAACAAATGAGTCAAGTAGTTTTCTTCACTCCGACAAACGTGTTGTAAACCTGTTTGATTGGCATTCTAGAGTGAGTGAGTGAGTGAGTATGGTTTTTCGCCGCTTTTAGCAATATTCCAGCAATATCACGGCGGGGGACACCAGCAATGGGCTTCACACATTGTACCCATGTCGGGAATCGAACCCGAGTCTTCGCGTGACGAGCGAACGCATTAACCACTAGGCTACCTGACCGCCCCTAGGCATTCCAGAAGTAGGTGAGATGTTGTAAACCGCCGATGTCAAATCACATGGACAACATGGTCTGACGCCCTTTTCCAGCGTGTCTAGATGCTCTTGTAAGAGTCACGTGTGAAACAAGCCAGTATTTCTGAGGCATGAGTGTTATCTTGCTTGCTATAATACTATGCAGCATAATATTTGTGTAAACAGAGAAAGAAGTGGTAACTATATGACGTAGTCAAACTTACCCGGTCAAGCTGTATATCATGATTAACAGATGAGTGTTTGTTAGCTGGTAGTGAGTATTTTCACTGGGGACTTTCTTCCCAGGATATCGGTACATGTGCAATCACAACACTCGATATGTAAAGAAACAGGCGTTTTGTTTTAAAAAAGGCCGACCATATCTTCTGAATATTTCATGCAATGTTACCACGTCAATGTTACATACCGGCTAGAGTGTGAGCCACAACTTCAGGTTCCACGCCGCCAAACAATTTGGGAATTATCCAGCTGTTCTCATTTTCCAAGAAGTCGTAAAGCTGCTCCACAGAGGGTCTTGACGCTGTAAGTAAAGATGACAATATGAGAAACGAGTCGCGAAGTTTGACTCTCCCCATTACACTTAAACGTATTCTTATATGAATTAAGACTAAAGGTGCACCGTCAGGTGAGTTATAATCAAGTTGATGTTCTCAAAAACGTCAACCAAAGTAATAATATGCCTGTTTGATCTGTTTCATCGGTTAAGTTAAGACACTGGAATACTAAAATAAATTATAACAATTGACAAACATTGTTTAACTTATTTAAAATGTAAAATATGTGTTATGAGAGGCCAGTATTGTCATCACCAAACCACAATGCATATTAAGCTATGCTTACGTTGACATAAGCTGAAACAACATAAAGATAAACTTAACGTGGAAGAACGCGTACTTCTATAGCAGATGCATGGCTGCTCCACAATCACAACGTCATTCCGTAACTTTGCAATATTCGTAATGCACTCTACATCACATAACTGGGTTACAATTATATCTGTCTTTGAAACTCTAACCCATCATACAATCAATTGATTGATGAAATATCTGATTAACGTCTATCAGCGTAGGGCGTGTGGCAGAACCCAATACATAGGGCACACAATATACATTCCCTTCAGCACGTTATGTACCTTCAAAAGTAACCGCTTGCTTCATTAAATTTAACTCCCCCTTACAGACTATCTAATCAAACATTGCCTGCATGGCATTAGCCATACAGCACGAAAATGTCCATCTTGGGATTGTCATATATATTCCTGAAATGGACGTGTAATGGAAGTGTGGAATCCACATGAAATGTATAGCCTTTAGCAAATCCCGGTAAGCCTAGACTTGGCCCATGGGAGCACTTGGCTTTTTGAAATCAAGTGCTCGGTCTGACCCGCTTTCAAGTGATATCGCACGTTTCACGTAATGAAATAATCGTGTTTGGTATTATTTATCTAGGTACCTTTAAGTACACAAGGGTATTTGAAACAGCGTAGCTAAACACATATGGTTATTTTAAGGAGGATGTATTGTATTGGCATTCATAAATATGAAAGTAGGAATTTGCTCCGTGAGTTTATGAAACAGCATTATATGTACTTTCTACTATCGTCATTTGTACATATTATAATAAACGTAATAATTTAATATCCCTTATTTAATATATCTCTCGCATCGCGGCTTGTATGCCGCGTACTTGTACTCTCAACACACGGCATCGATCTTCAATTGTAATTTGTAAGCACAATTGCCAAAAACAAAGACTAACATTTACAAAGCACTTTGTTTTCGGGCTGTTTTTGGACAGATAACCTACACCAGACAGACTATAAATGAAATTTGTCCAGCAAGTTCGACGTTCATTGTTTGAAAACCCCTGGGAACTACAGATCTGTCTTAATAACTCTCGACATCCTAGGACTTGGAAGGCATCAATTCCTCTTGGTAAGAGACCGATAATCCAAGGAAAGGAAGTTAGCATCGGAAATCTACTTTATCGAGGACATCAAGGTCACTCATAAGAGCAAATGTACATTGTCTGCCTTGACAAAATCTTTTTCATAATCATGCGCGAAATCTCCATTGTATGATTGTATATTATGCGTATGTGTTTATGAATCACTATCAAATAGTGATGATACCAGGTGTTCGCGAAAGGGTGAGTGTAACCTGTCCTATCGGTGGCACCCACCACAAACACATACAAGGGCAAGTCAAGTATTCACCTGAACAAGCATACATGTAGGGACATTATGACAGTGGTCACAATTGCGTCAAATTTGGAAGTGTCTTTAACATGCCTTCAATAAAACTCTTTGAAAAGTTTACTACGGCCTTGAATGTTCTTCTTACGTCAAGCAATAGATCCTGTGAGCCCATGCTGGCCCGGGTTCACCACGGAGCGTCTAAGAAAATGTAATATTATTTTCATATAATAGCTCAGTGACTAAGTGACAGCTAGTTGGCAGTTTCATACACCGTATGATGGTTCAGAATTGCAAACAGATAAGGAAATTCTGAACAAATGATCAATAAATTCCCTCGCATTAATACTCCTACAGCGTCCCTTGGGCACGCCAGAAACCTATGATTGGGGGTTCGAATCCCGGTTCGCCACGATTATGTTTCTAGGTTTGTCGATCAGCACCATACCCGTGCTCGTGGGTTTCACCGAAATGGTAAACGTCTGCGATGACCTGCATCACTTCGCGCTTTCCTCCCACATTAAGCTGTCATGCTGTGATACTTGGATACTGTTAAAAGCGGCATTAAACCAAACTCACTAACTCACTAATACTCCTCCACATGGTCAAATTCGATCTCCGTCATATCTTAGAATACGTTCATGCTTGTATACATATTACATGCGCTATTTTATTACTTGCCCGTGAAAGGATCACCCGTTTAATAAACATACAGCTGCATTACACATTGTGTAATACCAAAACGCGTGCTTCTGTACTGCGAGACGTTTCACGAACAAATATTGAAAGCTCTCAACGTCACTTGGCTAATTCAACGACATTGCATGTGGAGATGATAGATTACTGAGAGGAGTTTATGCACACTCGATGACCCCAGCAACCTTGTTTGCTTGGCTGACGTCACATAACATTGGATTGACGGTGGATCTTGCAACAAAATTCTACAAATTACGTCACAGGGTATTGTGACGTAATTTTAAATTTTGTGGTGCAGGGCTCCCTTCCACAAGGTGATCGTACTGTAGAGCAACGACAGTCGTAAGTCTATGTTAAAGTATGTGAGTTACGATAACCTTAAGTGCTACGAACACTTTGTGGAACGGACGCCTGATTTCTAAAGGTGCGCCGTTGTATGGTATTAAATTAAAACGTTTAAACTTTTGACGTGTTTGAGGTATTATTCTGTTAAACTCAATTGGGGAATGCCGTGGATCGTGTAGGTGGCTGACTATTTACACACAACAGTTACATTCTTAAAAAAGTTTGACATGGCAAGAAAGAAATAAAATACTAAACTCGCTCCCGTGTTATACCAATTTAATAAAACTCGTGAATAGTTTTGTATCTGACTCGTTTTTGCACGTCAGATACCAGAACTATTCACTCGTTTCATAAAATCGGTATTACACGGGAGTTCGTGAAGTATTCTATATATTTTACCGAATTCGCATGTCACAGTAAAATAAACGTTCAATGTTGAATGCCTTTCACGTTGAGACATTTTGCCTCCAGTAATAGCCTCCAAGTTTATTCTCGAGAGTGTTGATACTGTCACTTTCGTTGAAAAACACCAAGCAATAATCTAATTTCTGTGACACAAAAATTCAGTTTCTGGCCTAGTGGCAACAGACATCACCAACCGGCAGTTTATCCTACAGAAACTACTCGGCTAATGATGTCAACATTCATTTGGCCATATGTTATAAAGGCGTAGCATGTGCCGACAACGTCAACTTAAAGTCACAATCTAACACTAGACCTATACATCTATGTATGCTAGATACTCCAGGGGATGTATATTTCCGATATGTACGCTCCAGTGTAGGAGGATTAACAGTGACTGTTCAACGTTTTTTGTGGCTTATCTGTTAGCTTGGACATGTTAAGGTTTAGAAGACAGGGGCAAAGAAAAACGTGGTTACCTCCAGATTGACTATTCAAGTGATGGTGTGTGGCTATCAGTTCAGTACTAGTACTTAAAATTCTTACGCAAAGAGTGTGGTCCTTGCTTCTTAATCAAACAATGCTACAGATAAATTGATATTTGACTACGTCTTCAAATATGTTAAAATAATACCAGTATACCAATACAATTTCAATGTGGACAATTTCTCTTTCAGATAAAGTGAAAGATAAAATTAATCTCCTTAATAACAGGATCTTGACATTTCCTCTGGCATATCAATGACTTCAGGAGAGGACACGTATGCTTGTTCAGGTAAATACTTGACTTGCCCTTGTATGTGTTTGTGATGGGTGCCACCGATAGGACTGGTTACATTCACCCTTTCCGCGAACACCTGGTGTCATCACTGATTTTCAGTGATTCATTCATATTATCCATATGTTCACCTTTCGGCGGATAATCGAGACTGGATATTCTCAGGCGTTGACGTTATATAACCAGTATCTTTCATATTAATGTTATAACTCCAATTACGTATTCACTTATATCATCTGTAACAATTACCCACAACATACACAGTAATTATTCTCCCCAATAATCTACAATCCTACAATCCATCGTTATCTAGAAACACATTACATTTTCCTTTATAATTAGTTTGTCGGTATGAATCCCATACAATTATACACCTTGTACCGTGGACCGCGTCAACATAGGCACGAACCATTTAAGCGATAGGAAACATCAAAATAGAGAAGAGTACAATTTTAAACCCGATTTGTAGTGCAAAGAAGCATACTGATACTTGATTTCGAGTTTTTTCCCATACGAAGCTCCCGTTATATAAACGGTAAATGGATACAAACAATTCTTGATATGATGGCTAATGTTTGCTAATATCATGAATATATTTGTGACTTAAAACCAAAGATGTCACGTTATTTGTCAAAATATGTATATCTAACAGTTGGTCTCCATACAAAATAATAAATTGAAAACAAGATGACTCAAAAAATCGTTTTCGAGTTTTGTTCTGGAATATGTCTTCTATCCGAAATGAATAACAAATGGGGTTTTCAAGCTAAAAATAGTTTTAGTTTTCATTCAAATGAATATAAATGCATTAGCCCTACGTGTACTTCGGAAGCTAATTGTCATAAAGGTAGAAATTATAAAGCAAGTCAAACCGACAATCAATATGGATGGTAGTCCTATACTCTCCTGGACTACTGATGTTTCACTGTCCTTCCTACTAACTTAAGGTTATTGTACTGGAAACGTGTCAGTGCTGCCATTAGCGTCCTCCTCCGAAATTAGGCTCCTTGTCGGTCAGATTCATGACAGAGAGGTGTAACTAAAGAGGTACACGTCCACCAACTGCGTTATGTTGGGATTTCCTTCAAAGGGTATGTTAGGTGAGGTAACATCATGTAAAAGAGTATTGCACTTATATAGCGATGTGTATGAAGGCGCGCGCGTACGTGCGTGCGTGCGTGCGCGTGTGCGTGCGCGTGTGCGTGTGTGTGAGTGAGAGAGAGAGAGGCTGTTTGTACCGGACAATACCGGTTTTATACGGCTAACCCACTGAGATACCATATCGCAGCTTAACATGGAAAGCCCACAAAGACACAGTGTAATGACTCCGAGTCTACTAGTCCTTGTTTTACCCCCTTAATGCCGAGCGCCAGGCAGGCTAACAACAAGTACCATCTTTAAAAGTCTTTTGGCATGACGCGACCAGGATCGAAACACCGACCTTCCGCTCTCTGGGCAAACACTCTTTCCACAGAGGTTGTACCCTAACTAAGATGACTCAGCATGTTATTACTTGATATTGTTCGAAGCGTAATTATAGCCTAATGTATATCAGAATGAGAACTACACATCCACAACTATAATCACCACATCGACTACTTTATGTCGAAATTTGACTGAAGTCGCATGTGCTACATTGACCAATTATAGGTGCTGAAGATCATATAAGGGAGAAGCTTATATTTGGACCCACGATCGGCTTGGTCCAAGCACGACTAAGTTAGGCGAACCGACTCAGCGCCTTGCCAATCTTTAGGCAACTGGACCATCATCTTCCCTTGAATTCTCCGTACAATTAAAACAGTGTCTACTGCTATTACACTTATATCAGCTATTGCTTGTGTACCCCAACAGCCACCTCTACTTACCAGCATTGCACACAGCTTTATCTTCATCAAAACCGTCGTCACAGTCAAATGTTTCATCACAAACGAACTTAAGTGCTATGCAGGTGAAGGACTCTTTGCATAAAAACGGCTTATCAGGTGGGCATGGATTTCCTGAAACATAAGAGAAGAAACTGGCGATATTATATATTGTTAGAAAGCATGCAACGAGTGCGATGAATTGATAATTTATAGTTTCATAATGAATTACCCATGACTAAGCGTACATACACGCAGGAAAATGCACAAATCAAACCATGTTCATAAGAAAGACATGACGTTGTCATTCTTTAGATAGTTCTGCATTGTTACACAATCATATGGAAGCATGTGGAACAATGGAATGATGGACTTGTATTGCATTAGCTTTATCGTACTTAGGAAAATCAATTCTGAAGCTGTTCTGAAGCACGTTCAATGGACACACTGTGAATCAGTAGATCTGAATCAGTGTAAGTAGGGTTTTAACTGCTACATGTTTACACATGATAACATTTGAATTGGGAGGACAAGCTTTTTAAGAAACTGTTATTTTTGGGACGTTAATCAAATATGCATGGGCCGCTAATTAGCCAAGTCTAGTCCTTCTTTAAATGGGGAAAATGTAAAACTAACGGATCACGTATATGAGATATTTACATCAGCTTTTTTGTTATCCGGCAAGAGCGGAACATTTTACGTTGGCGTGAATCGTACATTCCAGTCAGTTCTCTTTTTTCACGGTTCTTCTTTGAGCAAATGACAATAACATTAGTAACACTCTTCGATTATTTGATTTGTGTTTAATCCAAGTTTTCGTCATCGTTGAGTTGATTTCAAATAAGCTTTTCTCAGCCGTTTCAACGACCGTAGCAATTTATATATTTGCAAATATGTTTTTTTGAACGTAAACTTATTTATGGCCTTTTATTAATCGTGGCGTTTACCTTAATTCTGGTGATATTATAAACTTTTTCATCCATTCACACATCACATCACGTCACATGAAATATTACTGAGCTTCGGGGATTGCAGGTCACTGCCAATTCTTTGGTTTCTACAATAGAGCTCAGTTTCCAAGTGTTCAAGTATTGTAATCTGCAATTCCTAGCCCAGTTGTGTACAGAGAATTGAAAATGCTAAACCGAACGGTATTTGACTCGACCATCAGTTAACTCCCTTTTCATTTCAAACAAAGAATCTGCATTTGCTAGGACGGTGCACACCATCATTATTCTGGTATACATTTTGATTAAATCCTGTATTACGGCACCCTTCTTGTGAAGATGTTATTAATTTCCTGCCCTACTTCATACACATTACAGATCGATCCATTACAAATGAACCCATGAGACTACAATAGTACCACCGCTCAGCACAATGTCTATCATTTCCTAGGCTCTCTGAAACATACCGGACTTTGATTTAAGGAAATTTTCGTTCATAAGAACTCCAGTGGATCCAGTGGATCAACATTATGATAATAAACATTTATCATTTATGACGATAGCAGTTTAGTCTAGTTAATAAGAGAGCGATATGGTGAGATAAGGGAATGTGTATGGTTTTCAGTTTTATCATGTGTACAGTGTATCTGGTTTCTGAAAAATTACTAAACGTGATAAAGTTCTTGAATGAATAATATGATCATGACGTCTTTCCATGTTCATCCACACCTTTGTGTTAAGAATAACTTATGACAAGGAGCGACTCCTTAACAGAGCCGTTTACCCAACACTCTCGGAAAAGGACATGTGTCATTGCCACTAATATCTTTTCTCCACTGCTTGCAATGAGTACTTCATTAACTCATTGATTTTTAACTCTGGCTGTGTCTCTAAATCCGATTAATTCTCCAGCAAGATGTAGCTATAAATGTATTATGATGTTAAAGATTCTCCTAAGCCAGAGCCAAAAATCAAAATTCACTCCCAATAGCCTCCTTAACCTGTTTCGCATCTCAGAACCTTCTCACACATCAGAAGCTACCAATTGTCATCGTCTTGCCTTGTGCCGAGGAGTCTTATGTATTAGCTATTCTGTTAGCATTCTTCTCCTCCTAACCCATAGCGGCATTAAACCGAACCCATCTTAGTTCCGACTTTGTTGCAGAGAAGAGATAAGCCTGAATAATTCGACAGACATAAGGGTAAATTTGAGGCTCGTTTTTATTGGTTTTCTCAATTAACGTTCGAAACATTGCGCTTGCTTTTTATTGAGTACATACAGATGAGAGTATGACCGTTCAACAATCTGAGGAAATCCCACGCCATATTGAATCATACAATTATCGCTTTAACACTGTTAAGATCAAACTGAAAAAACTAACACTGCCGACATTTTGATATGTCTGTGGCTGGTCATATCTCCGGTTTCTGACATGGGAATACTTGCAATGAATTTCATATCGACTTTTTTTTTAAAAACCCTCTCAATTTCGCAATCTTTTGCAATTTTCGGGATGGGAGTAAGATTAAAAAAGCCGATTGAAACGGTTTTATGATAAATCTACTTCTCTTAAAACGGCTTAACAAATATTTGACAGGAATATATCTATTTCTAAATCCATTCCATACATTTGAAAGTAAGGAGAGGTACACCACAGACTAATACAAGTTCAAAGTGCCTTTTATTGATTCAAACTCAAAGTGCATTTCATTTTCCCTTCATCCGGAATAGATTCCAGATAAAGAAAGTAACCTCTGTCACCCGTTCATGATAAAGTGTGCATTGGTTTACAGTTCGACATTTATCAATATATCAAATATTACGTTGTCATTGACACTGTGTCAAAGATGCTTATAAATCAAATACAAATGCTTCATTTGAATAATGCGAGTACATTTTAACACCGTTAGTTGCTCCTACAAACGGCTTCTTGAATTTATGAATCAGTCCCGATATCACTGTTATCTACACAACAGTTCCACTCTCGAGCATACCGAGTGAGATCTATGAATTGGTTGCACTCTCGTTGTATGCCGACTGTGATCTATACCATAGTTCCACTTTCATGCATACCGAGTGAGATCTATGAATTGGTTGCACTCTCGTTGTATGTCGACTGTGATCTGTACCACGGTTCAACTCTATTGCATACCGAGTGAGATCTATGAATTGGTTGCACTCTCGTTGCCTTTGTTACTGTTTGTGGTGTGTGAAGTAGTCCCTCCAGCTGCAGCCTGCTTGTGGTCCATGATATCAGTCCACTCTAACTGCATTATGATCTATAAAGTGGTTCAACTCTTATTGCATTCTGATTGTGGTCCATACAATAGTTCCACCTTCGTGTTATTCTGTAACGTACTTTTTCATTCATCCACATGTAATACTAGGGGCATTATATATAGACGAAACACGTGGGTACACCCTCATCGAATCAAATCAATATCCAAATGATATCTAATTTGACATTTACTTTACGCAAATTATCGATGCGTGCAAATGTCTTGAAAACAATGACAAGTTATACTTCTCTTCCTCGCAGGCCTGACTTAGTTCACCAAATTCTTTCATAAGAGATTTACATAGGTCAGACATGGAACAAGAAAGTTATCCCATATTGGTATCTCCACTGATGCATTGAGATGCCCGAGACTGTTTCAAAACGTATCTAACGAGAGAAAGCCAGATTGATACGTTTTGAAACAACTCGTTGTAAGATAAATGGGATGTGACAGGCACGAGTGCAAACATCTGTTTCTTACACACCCTAAATCGCATCATTTTAGCATCGAATCAGTGCATATTTTGGATTTTATCATAACAAAACGGCCACGAGTGACGTCTTCGGCTAACTGAGGACTATTCATACCTAGTGTGGTCCTCCACACACAAAACGTTTCAGCCATAGCTGTGAATTGTCAAGTTGATGGGGAAATGTTGAAGTAGATAGGATCAAAGAACATTAGTCAAGCACTCTAAGGCTATAAAGTTTTGACACAGACGTGGATGAATTTGGCTGAAGTTCGAGAAACGTATCAATGAAATACGATCAGGAGAGCCATAATCCGACCTTTGGTCATCACTGTGAAATCATGGACCCGGAATTTGATCTGACACGTTTGAAACCAGGGTTTCCAAAATTTGTTTCTCCCCCCCTTAGGTATGTAACTATACTAGCTTTGAAATCAGTATGGTCAAGTAAACATATATCCCATCACCAATTGATTTGACAATGGTGGCCATTAGTAAAGTGAAATGCAGCTCTAATATTCGCTCGATGTATACACAATGCCTGCCAGATATGCAAGTATGATGGGACAATGAACCAACTTAACAGCCACTTTAGTGTATATACACATAGCTACTGCACAGCAGGGTTATGTACTAATGGGAATAAATGGGGACAAACAGGTATTCTTCACAAGTTCGATATTGATCCCAAGGTACGTCCCATGTGTGTTTAAATTCGAAACACGGGTATCGTGTTGATTCCCATTGGCACGACTGGACGAAATGACCTCGACCAGATAGTAATTAAACATGGCCTATGCTGTGGTGTGCATATATGATCTGAGGATTCAGACATTAGGAGCCATGGAAACAACCTATTTCCGTGTGACATACTATTTAGTTGATTATATGGCAATGGAAGCAATATATATACATCTCTGATAATGAAAGAAACAGAACAATCCTGCTTGATGACTTTTAAATTTGAAATATTGAAGGTTGATGTTCATGTAATTGTAAAATGTAAAACAATATATGTCAAAGTGATACTAGCGTGTTACACAGTCATCTTTTCCCATCCATTTAGACATGATAACACGAACTAAATATATTACACAAAATAGCAATTAAGTTAATAGAATCAGCATGGATGACAGTCCAATATTGGTAATGGTTAGAAGGTAATTGTTAACTAGGAACCATATGCCAGTATCAGCACTAATATTCTTCCTTCAGTTCCGCCACACCGACTGAGTTGCTCGTGGCGGCTTGTCGTGAAATAACGTATTCTGCGAATCTATCAAATTAGGGCCAAATTTATCGCCTGGCCGAAGGCTCGTAGTACAATAGGGTATATATTGACCCATTCCTAAAAGGCATTTTGTGGATTCTACAAAGACGATACATTCATCTTTCCGTTTTGTTAAGGATATATACACACGTTGAATATGGTATGCTAA